TAATCCTAAGCTTGCTATTCCAATTAACTTTGGTATGTGACCTTTTATTATTAAAAATTTCCACGAGTTTATTTTCTATAACTTCAATTAATATTGATAACTTTCAATATTGTATTACTAAAGGTCTTATAGCATTATCATTAACAATCGCTTTACCATTAGCAATCGCAGCTTTTCCGCAAAAAGCTGTTATAAATCCATTAAAATTTGAAGATACATTTTGGAATTTAAAAGATAAAAATGGAGAAGCCATAAGACAAGTATTTTTTATAATAAAGGTTTATAGAATTATCATTTTTTTTGGAATCACATAATATCGATTTTGGAATAGATGTTTATAAACAACCAATTTTAGAACTTTTAATTACTTTAAATTGGTCAAACTATTCTTTAACATCGGACCCGAAATTTTTTGGGTCAAAATTTTCTAACCCGAGCCCGACCCGATTAGGAGCACTATGCTTGAGGTTTCATGCTATCGCTTTAGTCTCACATAGCCTCTACACAAACTAAAACTATAACACTAGTCAAGATTTCAAGATTTTTATAATAAAATTTTTAGATCTGCACTCTACATTAAACGATTATAAAAAAAATTAAACTTTAACTTCTCTCGTAACTTCTAATATTTGTTAATTATATTACACTTTTTGACAATCAATAAAAATAGGTACATACGCTTTGATAGGGGTGAATGAAATTTGATCGTCAAAAGGCTGCAAAATAACCAATTTTATTTACCACAATTCAAATCTTCTAAATTAACAAAATTTCTCTATAGTAATCGTCTAGAAAAATTATTTATTTTAATTAGTAAAAAAAAAAAAAAATTCTAATGTTATTACTATGTAAATACAAAGCAGAATTCTAGTTAAAACAAATCTGAATTCGAATTAAGTGAACCTGAATTCAGGTTCATATGAACTTAAATTAACAAAATTATATCTATTTTAAAATTAAAGACTAGTACCCGGGACAACACCCGGACCTGAGATCTGTTTGTAAAATAAAATTATAATGTCATTACCATGTAAATATGTTTTTATTAAACATTTATCCTTTAGAAAATTAAAAAATGATTGAGAAAACGACAAATCTGATAACCAGCTATTCTGTAACGGCCGGTAATACGACAAATGAAACGTGACCAGGTTGGACTTCGGTGATACACACGTGGACAAAGTTTCAGTCAATTTCGGCTAAGTCGAGAACTCGTATTTCGCGAATTATAAAGTCACGAGTTTTTTATTGTAATCATCCAATTAAAAATTAGCCACAGGTCAATCTCATTTGTCTTTGCTCTTATGAAAACTTTCTAGATAAAATGTATGAAAGCGATTAGAAAAGTTTTTTTGTTATAATAATTATGATTTCGTAAAGTGCCGAATTCTAAGTCGATCCTTGATTAATATAGGGATCCTGGCGTTACTATCGTCACACATGATAATATTTATTATTATTCTAAAAGAGCGGTTACATATGCATTCAAATTACTATATTCTACATTTTTCCTTAAAAAGAAGAAATCTCTTTGTTTTCATTAAGATTTCCTTTTAAAACTTAACCTCAGTTTAACCCCGATGAACTGTTTCAGATACGGGTCGTCATTATCATTCTCCGGATATTATATTCCTTTCATCGAAATCCTTTAAATTGACTGTAAAATTCCAACAAGAAGAATAAATAAAATTTTATAAATAAAGACTGACCGCACGTTTTGAATTTCATTTTTTTTTTTTTTCAAGAGTCAATCTGATTTTATTTTTATTTTTGATAATGTGATAAATCTTTATAACCAAATAAAACCAATAACAAATAATAAATAAACATTATAATGCTAAAAATGTAGAATACAATATTAGATATATGTATATTTTATAAATTATACACGCATTTAATATTTTCATTATGTTAGATTAGACCGTTTTTAACATATTTAACTTGTCAAAAAATTGCTTAGTCTTCGAAATAAACTTTATTAAAAGTTATTAACTTTTCGTTTCTTGAATGTAATGGATAAAATTTATGTGCCAGTGTCGAATATTTGAGTTTGTCGTTCATTTACTTGTATAGAAATTTTTACTTTGTACTCCCACTTTCTCTTTATATCACATATGAAATGTTATTGTATATAAATCAAATTTAATCATCAACAACCGATAAATTTCATTCTCCAACTTTAAAAAAACATTCAAAACAAAAATGTCAATGTCTATTCCTATTATGATATTGAATCCTAGAGATTTATCCATAATGTTTAAAGATAATGAAATTTTCAAACATATTGATAAAAAAAAAGTATTTGACAAGCTTGTAGTAAACACTCTACGCGTACATAATCTTCAACCTGACGACATCAAAGAAATAATTTTGGATACTTGGGAAAGAAGAGGTGCAGAATTTGACAAGTTCCTTGAAGATTATACTAAAGAAGTTAATTCTCATCGTCAAAAAAGGTTACCTCTTAATATTAAAATGTGTACTGGTAAACCGAAACCCAAAAAAAAGGTAATTAAGGTTGATGATACCACTACAACCGATTACGCTTCTGGTCTTTTTCAGGGATTTCAACATCCATCGAAAAGTCGCGCTACATCTAATCAATCTTTTGATATGAATGGGGGCAATAACACCGTGTTTGATGATGGCAATGATGATTTCAGGCAATACATTGACTATGACCAATGTTTAAATTAATAGAAATTTTCAAATCCTATTATAAGTAATGATTATACATATCTTACATATATTTAACTCTTTTTGTTTCATTTTTTTGTTTCAACGTCAAATGTTAAATATTATAATGGTACTGTAATTAATCATAATACAATGTATTTGTATTATTCGAATTGTAAATTGTAAGATAATGTAATAACAATTTTAAATAAAAAAATTTTGTATTTTTTTTTTAGTATGCTGTATCTGAAAAAAATTTTTAATGTATTCATAAAGTGAGATTTCGAATAAATCAAATTACCAAAAATTTTAATATCCACATTCGTGCCATGAATCTTTTACAAATTTACTATAATCAATTAATTTAATATTGGCATCTCGATAAATTAACAAAATAACTTTGGAAGAATTTCTAATCTCGTGAGCAAAAATTTAAAATTTTTTATTGGGCGATTACAAATTTAGAAATTACCAAACATGGAAATTTTCATCTTTGTGTTGCAGTTACATTGTGTAATTATATTGCATGTGATAAAAATTATTTATAATAATCACAGTATGCATAATGACCACATGCATAGTCACACACGATCATATACTACATTTGTAGTATTCTTGAATTAATCAAAATTTTTAATAAATTTAATGATACGTATGTAGCAAGACTTAGAACAAGACATTTCGGGAATAACAAAAATAATTTCAAATATATATAAGTTGACAATAATTCCTGATCATTGAATTGAGCAAATAGTCTTTGTTCAAAGTTGAAAAATTCTACGATTATTAAAACTTAAGTTATACTTTATTTGTAAATATATTCAACAATGTATAGCATTTTTTGATAATAGAAATTTATCACCTTTGGAGAAAGTTAATATTAGCACGTGAACTAGAGATGGGCAAAACGGGCATCTAGATATTTTCATGCAAATTTTTTTTGCATTCATTCAGCTAGGGATGAGAATCGAATCTTTGATAATCGGTTTAATCGTTAATCGAATTAGAATCGATTCTCATTTTTGTGTAAT